ATTGTGGCCCTTCCCCATCCAATTTGGAAAATAAAATATCCAACTAAACCTCGTTTGTCAGTTGTTATTCCTTAGTTAATGTGTCTATCCCCATCGATCAAATTCTCCATCGCACACGTTTCAAGAGGTCAAACCAGTAGATGCCCACATTCCATAGTAGGTGCCCCACATTCCATAGTAGATGCCCCACATTCCATTATAGCAGATGCCCCACAATCCAGAACTTTCAAGACATGTTATTTTTCCTGGAGTAAACACTATTGGCCGTGTAGAATGAAATCCTGGGTCATTGTGGAGGGAGGCCTGCTAAGCTTTTAAGCTGGAATGGGGGGGGGGGGGGGGGGGGGGGGGGGGGGTTGGGGGGGGGGGGGGGGGGGGGGGGGGGGGGGGGGGTGGCTGGTTAGGGCAGCCCGCCAATATAATATTACGGCATGCAGGCGGCGAGGACGTGGTTATTGAGATTGTCGGTGTGTTTGTAAACCTGCTCATTAGACTGTACACCAGTCAGGGCCTCCCAGGCGTTCTTCAACGTGTTTTCTCTTCAACGTGTTTATCGACCCCATGCATCAATCCTTCAAACAAACAGCAGATTAAATCTCTAGCGCAAACACTTTATACAATTTATCACATTACTTCCCAACAGAATTTTTGTCCTTAAGCATGTCACCATATCATTTCACAGTGGGTTTAAATAAATTTTTGCGAAAATGGCAGGCGCCTTCTATTCAGCGTTCTCATTTAATGACTCACTCCCAAAGAAACTTTGTCTCCCTTCTTCGCGTTCACGCGTAAGTTTAGATCAACTTAATTCCTCTCCGTAAGTCATTTAGGTAATGTGTCCTTTGGTCATTTAACCTGTCACACACTCACGTGATTATTCGATGTCTTAGGGTCAAATAACATACGATTTGTCAACATGACACCCAAGGTGCATTTTTATTCTCGAGGCACCGTCCGTGCTTTGTTTACACTGCTCTCAGTCCATACCCCTTCACTATCTTAACACTGCTCTTATCCCAAAATGATCTTAACACTGCTCATATTCCAATTACTCTTGACATTATCCCCAAAGTCTCCACTCACAGATCATATCCCAAAAGTCTCCACTCACAGATCATATCCCCAAAGTCTTCACTCACAGATCATATCCCCCCAAGTCTCTGCTCACAGATCATATCCCCTAAGTCTCTACTCACAGATCCTATACCCAAAGTTTCTGCTTAGCCTACAGATTATACCCACAAAATTTCTACTCACAGATCCTATCCCGAATGTTTCTACTAACGGATCATATCCCCAAAATGTCTACTCACAGATCCTATCCCCAAAGTTTCTACAGCCCAAAATTTCTACTCACAGATCATATCCCCAAAGTTTCTACTCACAGATCCTGTCCCCAAAATGTCTACTCACAGATCATATCCCCCAAGTTTCTACTCACAGATCATATCCCCCAAGTTTCTACTCACAGATCATATCCTCCAAGTTTCTACTAACGGATCCTATCCCCAAAATGTCTACTCACAGATCATATCCCCAAAGTTTCTACTCACAGATCCTGTCCCCAAAATGTCTACTCACAGATCATATCCCCCAAGTTTCTACTCACAGATCATATCCCCCAAGTTTCTACTCACAGATCATATCCCCCAAGTTTCTACTAACGGATTCTATCCCCAAAATGTCTACTCACAGATCATATCCCCAAAATTTCTACTCACAGATTATATCCCCAAAATGTCTACTCACAGATTATATCCCCAAAATGTCTACTCACAGATCATATCCCCAAAATGTCTACTCACAGATCATATCCCCAAAATGTCTACTCACAGATCATATCCCCAAAATGTCTACTCACAGATCATATCCCCAAAGTTTCTACTCACATATCGTATCCTCAAAGTTTCTACTTACAGATCCTATCCCTAAAGTCTCCCCCAACAGATCATATCCCCATGGACTCAACTATCGACCCATTCCTAGAGATTTCAATGGTCCCAGCAAATTAAAATCTCGTCAGTATTGGCTTCTTTGAGAGACTTGAGATGTTTCAAAAGGAACATTTGTGCGGGGGAGGGGGTGGCAGGAATGGCGTGCTTCAGACAAATAACTCCATGAAAGTAGTGAAAGTATAGATGTTTACATCCTTCGATACGTTTTTCTAAATATTGTATGGGATAACTAAAACTAGCGAACTGTTTTTTATTTTATAGCATCTCATTTTCAATAACAGCCCTGCTATTATTATGAACAACAACGTCTGTGCATTTCTAGATTTTTTTTATTAACATGAAAGTGACCGTCGTGAGAAATAGACAATTAGCCTAAGGGCTAGGCAAATGATTAAAGCGACTTTTACCAAGACATAGGCTACACTTCAGGCCTTGAAATAATCATATTAATTCTTTGCAAGCCCCTGACATAGGATAGAACGGTTATTATTTTTTCTTCTAAAATGTACAGTTACAAAAAATACTGTTGTATGAATTGCTATTTAAAACAGGTCATTATTTAAAAAATAAATTGTATCTAAATACTAAATGAAAATGGTATAAAAATAAAGAAAGGACATGGTAATTTACAAAAGGTGTCATATATCTTTACTAATATGTGATTTATCTGATGGAAAATGAGACAGTACAGCATGAATTTCCAAAGAAATGCAGTAGCTTAAAAAGTTATTTGGAATTGGAATTTCTAACAACTATAACTTATAACTTTCTTAATTTAAATTACTTTATTACTAAATACTAAAGTAGGGACTTCGGTATGATCCGGAAAGTGCCGAAAACCGGTTATCGTGATTTCGTTGTCAAAATGGCCACTTCCCCTTTTTAATTTACCGAGGGTTGTGTTGTTTAAGATTTTTTTTTTGCTAAAGTTAGATTTGTTATTAAAGTCTATTTCTACCCTCAACTTAAAGCAGACATGTTTGTTGTTCACTTGACACTTTTCTTTAAGAAAAAATTTGACGGTTTGACATTGAAAATTACTGGTAAATAATAGCTAATTTGACTCTTTTATAATTTTTGGGGGAAAATGAAAGTTTAAAAAGAGAAAATACCAATGTTAGATGTAGGCATAAATGACAACATATCCATATATATATATATATATATATATATAATATAAGCCTAGTATAGTATAGACCTAGTGACATCCCAACTTGTTATTGCAGAATCTATTATAGGTAAATGATATTAATGGCTATGTAATCATATTTTAATGAAAATTATGATTCTTAAAATAAAATTAAAAATTTAAATATTCACTTACCTTTGATATTCAAATATCCTGTATTCACTCACAAATCACAATATTCCACAAGAAACTATTATATAATATAATCTTCAATGTTCAAGAAATAACACACTCTCTGCCACAGTGATCCAAGAATTTCTTAAGATATTACTAAAGAATGATCATAAAAGCTTGTACTTACCTCAAGCAAATGACTAGAACTTCTTTTAATTTCTATCAACTGCCAAAGTTAATACATTTTGATTTGTGAAACAAGATTACTAACTTAAAATAAAGAATCTACTATTTTTTGGTCATATTTAAATGGGTCTAAAAATACATATAAAGAAAATGGAAAAATAAAAAGTATAGTTGTCAATTTTAGATAAAGGAATCAAATAATCCCTGTATTATTATTTTATTTTTATACTTAAAAATGTTAAACAATTCCATTGAAAATTTGAAATTAATATCTAAAGAATATTATTATTATTATAAAAATTAGGGAAATTTAATATATATGTTTTTAAAAAATATATCAATTAAATACAAATAAGTGATGAGTCAGCATATTTGATACATTTTAATAAGGAAAATTATCAAGATTAAAAATATTTTTTGCGGAATATTAACAAAAACTAAAATTGTATTTTGTGGCTTAACTTTGAAGAACTCATATTTAACTGTGTTCCCTGTAAATATTATATTTTCGTCTCATTTTATAACAAAGTTATAGGCATAAAAACAATAGCAATATATAAGTATAAGGGGGACGAAATGTGGGGGAAAATCCGATAATGAAAAAGTGCTTTTGATGTTCATACTAAAAAATTAATAACTTTTGAACCACTTGAGCTAGAAAGTTGATCTTGGTGTTTTTGTAAACCATTCTATTGGCTCTATACAACTGTAGCATTTTTATATTTTTAAAATGTTTAGAAATTTTCATCAAAGTGCCTAACTAAAGTCTAAATAATGAAAGTTTGGCGACTTTTGAAAGACTGTTTGATTTATTCATCCCCCAAGTGCCCAGTGTGCCAATACCTTAAGACAGCTGCGCTTTTCTCCACTTATTTCACTACCGAGCAGTGGCGTAGCTGGGGTTATTACCGCCCGGAGCTAATAAATAGCTTCTTAGGCTAACATAATCGTACACAGATTCTCACTTTATTTTTTTCGATTCACATCTGAGAGAAGTGAAACTTGTTTACGTGAGTAATTCCCCCTTTAGAAGTACACAACTTGAGATTCGCATTTATGATAATAATTTTTTATTTTTGCCGATAATATTGTGGGTAAAATTAGGGAAACGTGCTATCCACTTACTTTTAAATCAAATTAAATTGCCAAAATCTTCATAAATAATATTATGTGTTGAAAGATGTCTCTAAAAGAGTGAGTCTCCAAGAAGAGTAAGGCCCTGGGCCAGTGCCCATACCATAATGATAATAATAATAAATAAGAGTAAGCAGACTCAGACGGACTGACCTGGCCCAGATTTGGTGTTGTCCAGAGGCATGTTCTCGGTATTAAAATAAATCCATTTTATATAGATAAAGATTATTCTTTAAAAAAATGTAATTAATAATCAAAGGGATTAACAGTGGGCAGGTGATTTAACGAATCGTTGAATGTGATAAATAATAATTTAATGGATTAAACTCGGTAAATTTATCCCGTTTTACTTTTAACATATTTAAAAATTTTGTACTGCTGGCTGTTATAGAATTAATTGACGACACAATTTGGTCTTGGCGCGATATTCTTCCAGTGTGTTCAGTTATTTTTGTTTAAAATGAGTCTTTGGGTTGATAAATATCGCCCCGTTTCTCTAGCAAAATTAGATTACCATAAAGACCAATCTGCTCACCTAAAGAAACTGGTAGGTTTGACCACGTTCGGGTCAGTTTTTTTTACCCTGCCTTCCTTAATTAATTGGCCGGCACTACGTACACCGCGGCGGTGTACCTAGCGAAACTATTGACTTTGGCCTGCGTACACTGCGGCGGTGTACCTAGCTAAATCATGGTCTGTGGCCTGCGTACACCGCAGCGATTTTAAGTAGCAAAAATATGGTCTTTGCGAGTCTTTAACCTTTTGGCCTAACCAGTATTTGTAGATTTAATGTTATACTCGTGTTAAAACTGAAAACTATTTATTTAAATTTAAAATTCGTTTAGCACCTTGGGAAGATATTGAGTAAGTTTCACGCTTTGAGGCAAAGTACTTGTAAAGCATTTCTTATTATTTTTTGGAAGGGAGGGGGCTGGGGGTGTACTGTTAAAAAGTTAAACAATGATTTATTTTTAAAGTTAACCACTTTATTCTCCCCCCCCCCCAATATATTGAAATACAAATATATTTATTAATTGTTGTAGGTTTTATCATATGATCGTGAATCTTAATAGGCATAAAAATGGGAGCTAATTTGAAATTATTCTCCCCAACCCAGTTGTTGTTTTTTTGTGTTTTTTTTTGGGGGGGGGGATTATAAATATAACATTGTATGTGATCCCTCGGAGCGTGGTGTAAAAATGAATGGGAAGCCAGTGAATCTATTTTGTTAGCACCAAGATATAATTACGCCACAAATACATTACGGGAAGAGAATCACATACATTGATCATGAAGTCGTGAAGTTAAAGTTGTCCAAGGCATTGTCATTGTGATACCAAGCGTGTGTCAACACAAAACAATAGTATGATGATGAATACAAAACACTGCAGTGATTTTTAAAAGTCTTTTAACAATAATAAAATAACATTGATTTTGTTTTACATTTGCATTACACATTAGTAAAAAATGCTGGCGGAGGGGGGGGGGTGCAAAAGTTAAGTTTGTTGTGCGGACTTCCTTTGTGGACAACCCCTATCCAGAGCCGTGTTTTGTGAAGGCCCCTTTTTGGTTAAGCCTCTGCCCATAACTAGGGGTGTGCCGGACCCCGGTCCGGAATCCGGTTCCGCCGGATTTTGCACTATCCGGTGAAATCCGGTTCCGCCGGATTTACATGTATCCGGAACAACCGGATTCCGGAATCCGGAATATACCGGATTTCGGAATTTGCCAGATTTTGTGACTCACCGGATCATAATCTGAAATAAAAGTAATTCTCTTTCCCGAATTTCACACGATCACGATACATTAATCGATTGTTTCGAGCGTTGAGCTTGTTTAATGTTTAATATTCCGTACATACCAGAGGCTAGAGTCAGCACCGCTAATAGTGGCCAATAGTGTAGGGACTTTGATAAGAAAATTTAAACTTTTTGTAAAAATAAACCAATGGCATAGTTGAAAAGATGTAATTTTTTAAAGAATTATAACACCAAAATCATATTTTTAGCTGTTGTAGTTTTAAAGTTATGAATTTTTAAAGTACGACTTGGTTTGTCATTTTTTAACATGGACTGCATCTCCACATTCTGTGATCTCATTCCACCAATCCCGTCATGCGCAATGACTATATAGTTTATATAAGGCAACGCATTCCCTGCCTTATCACTAAAATACTGTTTAGACTTAGTTTAAACTTTCAACTTTGGCACATGAATAATTAATTAAAGCTTTCCCTGACCAATGGTTTAATAGTTTTTGCACACGGCAAACTCTTATGAATGAAACTCTGAGGTAGTACTACGATACAGTTATGCAAGTGGCTGTGAATGGTTGCCAATGACAACGTGTTGCACACGGTAAATTCTGATCATTTATAATATGGATTCTACCGGGTTGTTAAAGCTCAAATTAAAACATTCCAGTTTAAATGTCTTTAAATGCATTCTGAAACACAAGTTATCAATTATTTTGATGTAAATAGTGATAATAAATTAATATTTCCTAAGTATCGTCAACTTCCGCCATTAAAAAGGGGGGCGTGGCCAACCCCATGGCGAAATTAGGTTGAGCGAGCTGCATAACCTGCTGCGAACGCGTAGAAACATGGCGTCTCTCGTAAGACACTTATCCAAATGGAACGGAACTCAAATATATATCGAAAGTACTAATTTAATAATAAATAGACACACACATCGGAAAATTAAAAACTCGGATTTTTTGGCGCCGATTGCGAATTCCCATACACAAAAAGTAGTAGTCCACCTTGACTTACCGAAGTATCTACCAATAGTACCAAAATCCGGAATCCGGGAGAAACCGGAATCCGGATCCGGCGGATTTCGCATAAGAAAATCCGGATCCGGATCCGGTTGGAAAAAACGGATCCGGCACACCCCTACCCATAACTCACCTCCACCCACCCACCCCCACAAGGATCGATTTCTTAACCAAAAAAAAAACAAAAAAAGCTTTGACATTGATGTCAACTCCTAACGTCTTCTTGGATTGATTACATTCGTCAGTTCTTTCATACGTTGAAAGCGTCGTACTATTCTCACTATCAATTAACAAACTCAACTCCTTTTCATAATAACTATAACTTTAATATCTAAGTAAATATAATAAACATCCTATCACTCCAAGGTTCCACTCAAGACTGCCGCACTACTAAAACATACGTCACAACACGGCATAGACAATACGTCACGACTCAGCATAAAAATACGTCATAAAGACTATGGCGGGAAGAGCGTTCACTAACTATAATAGTCAAGCGCGGGAAAAGCGTTCAACAACTAATGAACATAATATTGAGTCGCAACAATTCCTAATGAACGCTCATACTCGACAATTGACGTTGTGCCAACACATATAACATGTTGACATTTTCAAGTGGACAAAAAGTTTAACAAGGGCATGGGGCAGATAACTCTGCAGTAATTAGTCACTAGCTTAATGATTCATCCAAGTATCTACTTCTGAAGCAAAATGTTCTTCTGCAGATGGCTGATAAGACAGATTCTGATATAAAATGTTCTTCTGCAGATTGCTGATAAGACAGATTCTGATACAAAATGTTCTTGTGCAAATGGCTGATATGACAGATTCTGATGCAAAATGTTCTTGTGCAGATGGCAGACAAGACAGATTCTGATACAAAATGTTCTTGTGCAGATGGCTGATATGACAGAGTCTGATACAAAATGTTCTTGTGCAAATGGCTGATATGACAGATTCTGATACAAAATGTTTTTGTGCAGATGGCTGATATAACAGATTCTGATACAAAAAGTTCTTGTGCAGATGGCTGACAAGACAGATTCTGATACAAAATGTTCTTGTGCAGATGGCTGATATGACAGATTCTGATGCAAAATGTTCTTGTGCAGATGGCTGATGAGACAGATTCTGATACAAAATGTTCTTGTGCAGATGGCTGATGAAACAGATTCTGATACAAAATGTTTTGTGCAGATGGCTGATATGACAGATTCTGATACAAAATGTTCTTGTGCAGATGGCTGATGAGACAGATTCGGATACAAAATGTTCTTTTGCAGTATGTGCAAGGGATGGATAGGACATCTCCAGGTGCAAAGTTAACCTGGGCTTTTCTGGCTTGTCTCTTATGCTCTGCAGCTCTGTTGGATTTATGTTGTATGGAGCCCTTGTTTAAGGAGAAATGTCTGTATATTCGATCCTTTGCTGATTTTTCCCATGTATCTGGTTTTATACCAAATACTTTCAGTGAGGCTTTTAGGTTGTATTTAAATTGAAAACATTTGTTCCGTCCACCAGCAAGCCGCCTTCCATGCTCAAGCTCGCCATAAAATATTCTTTTGGGCAAGCAGCCATCTGACATTCTTGTATCCCGCCCAGTGGAGCTGGGACTGCATTAAGTTGGTATAGAAGCTTGGGAGTCTTGCCTGTGTCATTACTTCAGTGTCTGGGACCTTGTCCTGCCACTTGGTGTAGAGCGGTGTTTCCCAACCTGGGGTCCACGTCCCACAAGGGGGCAATTTGATTGTTTACAGTGGGGCAATTCGAACATGACCTGCCTAGAATTTGAAAACCTGTCGTCTTGAGTGGCATTGAAGGCCAAACATATTTGTCATATTATTTTAGATTCAAATTACTTTCGAACATTAAAGAAAGAATTTGGAAAAAGAACAGCATTAATTAAAGTCTCTGTTTACTGCTCATACTGCAACTTTCAATCATACTTATGAGACTATTTATGAAATTTCTTTCCAAATACCTAATTCTGGTAAAAATCATACTGTAGTAGAGAATTTTATCAAACCTTCAATATCAGCATTTCTTAAAACTGTTCTGGAAAAAGGTGACAAAGATGTGAAGCTATAAGGCTATGCCAATCAATAACAATACTATTAGCAAATTTTAAAAAAAAAATTGATGAAATGGGTGAAGATTTTGAAATACAACTTATTGAAAAGCTGAAAACAATAAGAATCTCAGTGCAAATGGACGAATCAACTTTGAGAGACAGTGAGGCCGTACTTATGATATATTGATAAAGGAGATTTTTCTGAAGAAATCTTGTTCTGTAAATCATTAGAAAGCACCACTACTACCAAAGATAGATATATATAATGAGCTAAACAATAAATTAGATATCAAAATTTTTTTAAAAATATATCTTGTGCTGCAGATGGCGCTCCCAATATGATGGGCAAAAAAAAAATGGCTGCTTTAAGTTGTTAAGGATGAGAATCCAGAAATGCTACTTGTGCAATGTGTTATTCATAGGGAAAACTTAGCAGCTAAATATATTTCACCTGTTCTTAATGAGTGCTAAACTCAGTTACAAAGTGTATCAATGCTATTAAAGCTAATGCCAAATATGAGTGTCTATTCAAGCCTTTTTGTGAAGATCAAAATGCAGATCATGTGAGACTTTTACTTCATACTGAAGTAAGGTGTAAGGTGGCTCTCAAAAGGGAACTGCTTGAAAAGATGTATGGAACTACCCTATTTGATACTCTTGGTGACTTTTTGTGAGAAACCTAAAATTAAGTACCTGTTAACAGTTGATGGTAAATCATTTGTGAGTTATTTAGCCTAGCCGATATCTTTGAAAAACTAAATATATTAAATAACCAACTTCAAGGAGCAAATAAAGCTCTTGACGATGCAAAAGAAAAGATATTTGGTTTCATTACCTTCATCGGATTGTGTCAGAAATAGGTTTGTAACAAAAGTTGTTGAAAAGTTTCATTGGCTTGAAAAATGTGAAGTGTATGATATCGCTATACTTTTGTCAATAATCTAAAAAAATTGTCAGCAGATTTAGATGGAAATTTTTTTGATTTAAAACGAACTGATCCATGAAAAAATATTACACCCAAAAAAGTGGGGCAGTCATGTTCTTTCTTTTAGCTGCAGAAATTCCTGTTAAGAATTTATTTGCTCTCAATAGTATCAGTACTTATTGTAAGGTCTAGGGCTAACTAGTTTTGCTTTTATTACATATAGGTTGAAGGAGGTGATTTCCCACACCTTTTGGTTTATGGCCCATCAGGAGCTGGGAAGAAGACACGGATTATGTGCACTTTACGTGAATTGTACGGCCCTGGTGTGGAGAAACTTAGAATTGAACAATGTCAGTTTACAACGCCCTCCAACAAGAAGCTGGAAATATCCACCATTTCTAGCAACTACCATATCGAGGTTAATCCAAGGTAAGCAATACAGTTTTATTGCATCGGTGGTTCACTACTGTCACTATAAGAAAGAAATGTACAAATGTAAAGGAAAAAGCAACTTCTGAATTTAATTTTTTTTTGTTTATTCCATAGTACTTGGGTCAGCTATGTTTAAAAATGTATAACTATTTTTTACTCGTTTGAAAGAAAATAAAACATTGGTAAATAATATATACAGAGAATATTGGTACGTTCTTAACTTTAACTCATTTTATCCTAACACCATATTTATTTCAGCGATGTTGGCCACAATGATAGAATTGTAATACAAGAATTGATTAAAAATGTTGCTCAAGTGAACCAGCTAGATACAACACAGCAGAAAAATTTCAAAGGTAAGGTCTCTGTATTGCATTATTAAGAATATATTAGTTACATGACACAGACAGTTATTTTTATGAGCTTAGTTACTTTAAATCAATTTTTTTAACTTACTGAAAATTACTTTTGTCATCTTCTATAGTTGTTGTGCTGACGGAAGTTGACAGACTTACCAAGGAGGCCCAGCATGCCCTGCGTCGCACTATGGAAAAGTACATGTCTACATGCCGCATAATTTTGTGCTGCAATTCTACTAGCAAAGTCATCCCTGCCATCCGCAGTCGTTGTCTTGGTCTTCGTGTTGCCGCTCCGTCCATAGCAGAGGTGCGTTGGGTCTACTCTGCACATTTTAGATACTATTTTTAAGGTTTTGTGTTTTTGGTTCGCCTACTTATTAAAGTTTCAGGAAATTTGTTAGAAGGGAAATTGTTCAAACTGAAATTTTTTCAAATGTAAGTTTATTTGAAATGAAGTTTGTTAAACTGAGATTTATTTATTTAAATTTTTATATGGGAAAGTGTGAATGAGAAATGGGGATACTGTAGACTTTTTTAATAAAATTTATTTTTTTGGTTTTTTTACCATTAGGCTTAATATTATTCAAACCAAAGTTTAAAGGGATTTTTTTATTTGATATATCAGATAACGGTATTATACAAAAAATAAGTACATTGAATTTGAATAAATGATAGAACTTAATAATATATGCCTCAGTATATCTCTGACTTTTCCTGTCAACAGATCAGCCAAATCCTAATCACTGTATGTAAAAAAGAAGGGCTCACACTGCCCCATGAAATGGCAGTTAAAGTTGCAGAGAAAAGTGGCAGAAACTTAAGGAGGGCACTTCTGATGTGTGAAGCCTGTCGAGTACAGCAGTGAGTACAATTAAGATGCCTTAAGTTTTAAAGAGTTTTTTAACATTAAAAAAGAAAGCACAAAAGAGTTAGCCCCCAGATAACAATAATTTCTGGGGGTTTTTTTTCAAATCAACATTTTAGTAGCATCATATTTATTGTAATCAATCCCCATTGAACAGTTTTTTTATTTTAAAACACTAGATTTGAGTGTTCGGGACTTAAAGGTAAGTCATGCAAACATTAAATGAATACAATAAATAGTGGTTACTTAAAGGTTTTTCTCCTTTTTACTTGTCATTTACCTTACCATTTACTAATAACAATGTGGTTCTCGGAGAGTTATTCGTAAGGTCAGTTGCCTACTATTCATATTCTTCATCATTTTTATTAGGTATCCATTTAACATAGACAAAGAGATATCAGAGCCAGACTGGGAAATTTACTTAAGAGAAACCGCAACCATGATAGCTCAGCAGCAATCCCCAAAAAGGTGAGATGTTAACACTGTATGACCACCATACAAATTTGTATCATTGGTTTAGTTGTTTTTGACTTCATAGATACCAAACAGCTGATTTGTCACTTACAATAGCACAGACACAATCAAAGATTTATAATATATTTTATCTGATTCTAACAGTAACTAAGAAGTCTTAAATAAGTTTCGTTTTTTGTTTTGGTTTTGTATTATTATTTTTTAAGAGAAGGAAAAAAACTTGTTTCAAATGAGTTGTATGATTTTTGTAGACACTAGAAGTAAATTTGGGCCATGAAGCATCAACGGAATGTTTGTTTTATTTCTTTAAATGTTTGATCCGGCGCATAACTAGTGCATAACATTTCACTTGAATCTCTTGTCTATTTTTCAGGTTACTGGAAGTGAGAGCACGATTGTATGAACTTTTGACTCACTGTATACCACCTGACATTATCATGAAGGTAAACAGCAGTGATGATAAAAATGTACATTTAATTATTGTTTCCTCATAATTTAATTTGTTAGTACGTCTCCCCCAACAAGTGCAAGAAGGTCACCACCGCAATGGTTTAAATTTGACAGGAGCAAACACAAGATGTGTTTTTGCATATTTCAACTCCCTTATAATTCTGGGGAATTTTCACTTCCAACTAAACATGACTGATTCTTCTTTACAATTTTTGCCAGATCAAGTGCAACAGATGTGACAATTGACAAATTGAGAGTTTTTAAAAAAAGGGAGTTTCAGTTTTAATTTTAAAAAATATTAGCAATAAAATTTGATCATGTAGCCTAGAAGATATGAAATCAAATGTCAGCTTAGTTACCATTTAAAGTTTTTAGTATTTGGAGACAATGATAGATATCTAGAAAGTGTCTCAGAGTCAATGTTTTACTGTCCGGGGGGTTTCTGGGTTATACATTTTTTTTATTTTTTTTTTTTGAAGGGTCTTTTAAAGGACCTGCTAGCAGTTTGTGATGGCCAACTGAAAGCTGAAGTTGTGCAGTGTGCAGCATTCTATGAACATAGACTTCAACAAGGTCAAAAGGCAATTTACCATTTGGAGGCTTTTGTTGCAAAGTTTATGGCTATTTACAAAAGATTTCTTGAAGAAGGAATTGCAGACATTTTCTAATCGTTGCAAAACAAGATATTATGGAAGTATTGAATCGTTGAATTTTTTTAAATTCAGGTATTAAATGTTTCTATTGATCATACTGTATATTGCCATTGATCTCTGAAGTGCCCTGAATTAATTTTTATCACTAAAATTGAAAATGCATGTGTAAAAGTGTGGGCCGCATAAAACCGTGAGCCGGAGGAGAGGTCGGGGGGGCAGGGTGTCTACCTAGTTACTGGCTGGTCTTTTCAGTGAAATCAGGGTCTCATTTGAGTATTCTCTTTTAGTCACTTTAAAATTATGCGGATATGTGAGTTTTATGTAACCTTCCCAGTTTTTCATGGAGTCTTCAATCCATTACTATGTTAGAGCAGCATAGGCCTACCCTGATTTAAAAGTTTATTTGGTGTCCCAGAGCGGCCTTTCAGCCCCTAAGAACTATATAGGTTGGAACCACTGGTTTGGTATGTGATTTAAGCAGTCCCTGACATGTAACAGAATGTCTAAAAATTTTGTAAATATTTCTGTGGTTTATCTTGTGCATGAGAATTTATTGTGATTCGGATATTAAAAAAATCTCCCATTTAAACATTGCTACCTGACATTTGTCTTTTTCTTTAAAATGACCCCCCAAAAAACTCATAAAATCTCAATGATCATCATCATGTATAATTACTTTCTTGTAATTAATTGAAAAAGCAAATATTCATTGATGAATCGAACATTTTTAAAATTTCTCAACATACCTAAAACTAAAAACCAATGACCGAAATATTGTGTCACAGTTAACAAAATGCACTCTCATTGACATAATTAAAAATAATTTCTTGTCAAATTTCATAAACAGTTTCAGCCCAATGCCATTGTTATTCTTCTTAACCCTATGACTGTCATATGAATACCCCTGTGCTGTCATGGCCCATATAATTGGGCGCTAGCAAAATCGTCATTAAAATTTGATTGATTTAATGTATAGCCATATATGGACAATTTTAGCCCTAAGCTTACTCATATTGCTACAGACAAATTTGTTTGGGAAAGGGTGGAAATAGAAAAAAAGATTGAATCCCAAAGAGCTACCCAAAGGCATTTATGTTTGTGTATGTTCTGGAGTATTAATAAAAATGGATTTAATAACATCAATTGAAAAGGAATTTTGAACTCATTTTGTGCCTTCCCCCTTGTATTTTTGTATGACAGAAGTTTGAAGATTCTGAAAGAAAGAAATTCACCAATATCACAATTTTAAATTTAAGTAAGGATAACTTGGCATCTTCTGAAAGAATATTGCTTCTGGTATCTCAAAAACTTGATTTTATGATAGTTCATGGAGTGTTAGTTTGGGTTGAATGCTAAAATGCAGAAGCTGAGCTCTAAAATTTCACTCACTCTGTCAAGGACAATATCAACATACGATAAGATACCTTGTCCAATGTACTTTCAGAAAATGTATATTTGTAAGGGTATTTGAATTCATATAATCTGGGATTTTGTCATTTTTGGATAACATTTGAAAATGCTAAAAGTGGTTTGATGCTACAGAAAAATGTTCTTGACGGTTTTAATAAAACTGTACATTTTCAATTTGAAAAATGTAAAATAAAAAATTTTAAAAAAGCAAATTATATTTCCCAAATTGTAGACAGGTGAGGTGGGAATCTACTATTTTGACTATGCCCTGAGCTCCCAAGCCTTGTTTCAATTTGGTAAATTACATTATGAGAGATTCACAATCAGTAAGCTTTATTGGCCCAATTTACTCAATAAAGAAGGCACACTTCCCCATGTATTAACATTAAATAAAATAAATTCTGATTATTTTTTTTTAATTTTAAAATAATTTGTTTTTTCAACATTTTTAGACAACTACTAGTGTGTGTGTGTATATATATATATATATATATATATATATATATATATATATATATATATATATATATATATATATGTATATAAATATATATATAAAAAAAAAAAAAAATATATATGTGTGTGTGTATATATATATATATATATATATATATATATATATATATATATATATATATATATATATACACATACATGTGTTCAAATTTACATACCTGAATAAACAAGCATAACAAATTATCTTCTTGTAAAAAAAAACATGCAGGATGATCCGAGATGTTATTAAAAATAGCAAAGCAAGTGAAAAAAACAGATTAACAAAAAGGCCTAGAAATGCAATTATGATCTATGTGGTTTGTATGAAAAATTAAGGATAACAGTATAAAAGTTAAGTGAAAAACTGTTGTCATATCACTACTCATGATTGTAAAAAAATTAATAAAAGTAAAATGCCAGACAAAAGCCAACTAAATTAGACCTTACTCATTAGAATAAAGTACTTCAACTTCAACATATAAATATAATGTAATGGCTTATTTCATCTTGGTAAAAACTCATTCTTCAAGTTTTTAGATGAAGTTCAGCTTTGTTAAAGAAAGCTAATAAATTCAGTGTTAATTGTCACACATAGTTTGTGTTAAGTTTGTTTTCAATTGAAATTCATTGAATCTATACAAAATAATAATATTAATTCAATGGAGTACAGTTGTACAAACGGGGTGGGTAACCATTTCATGTAGGAAGGCAGCAATCTCTAATCAAATAAGGCTGCATTAAAAAACTTCAATAATTGCAAGCTGTTTTGTCCTATAAGAACATACAAACATGTTTTAGTCCAAAAGTTTTGGGAACTGTGCAATTGCTGATACAGAACCAAGTAGTGGAGGTGGTAAACACACACTGCCAAACCATGCTCTTATTTGTCTACTAGCGTATATAATGTTATAAATTTATATGTATTGTAAAAATTCACTAAAATGACATTGAAAATTATCTTTACTAGTAACATTTTTTAAAGCCTAGTAAATGGAAAGTTAGTATAAAACAAACAAAAAAATTGGACTGAGTAAAAAGCTGCACTTGAAAACTGAAGGCTCCTAACCCTTGCTCTAGAATATGCTATGAGGCAGCTTTAGGGGAAGTTTAATTGGTTGGCTACATAAAGAGTTAAATCTTATTTACATAATTCTGCATTCTGCAAAATTAAGAAGTGTGAAAATCCAAGTTGTTGGATTTTTCAATGCGGAATCAGATTAAGCCAAGCAAAGCATTGCAGTTCTAAACAAAAGAGGAGATACTGAAATATTGACATTTCATAGTAAATTGGTATCAAGGTGCTGTGCACCATTTTCACAATATCTGGTACATACGATTAAGTAGAGTTAAGATTCATGCATATGGCACACAATTAATTTTTAGGATTTTCTAAAAGTAGTTGCATACTTTAAGTCAAAGTAAAATAGAAAAATTTTTCACTGCACTTCTCTTAAACAATAAATAAATTGTGATGCTGGGTTGAAAGACATTTACAGAGGGAAGTGGCTGGAAAATTGCCTGCAAAGATGAGAAAATTTTGCAAAACTGAGAAACCTTTTTGCAAACAAATTATAAAATGAATTTGATGTAAAATATACAAACTTTGTCAAATTTTGATGCGAAAATTAACTCAACAATATTATTTATTGGGTATGACAATATTTACAGTAAAGGATATGATACGCCTACATTTTAAAAATTTATTTATTAACATTCATGAAAAAAAAAACTTGAATCAAAGAAACTTTTAAATCAACAATTGATGAAGGCATAACAACATGTTAAAGTAATGGTAAGTCTGGATGCAAGGCTAATGCAGTATCCTATGAAGGGTGAGAGGATTCAATGAACACAGTTGTTTGTGTTCAAACTTATCACACAGGGTAGTGAAATGTTTTTGTTCAAATTTATCACATAGGGTCAATTAGCATGCAATTAAAGCCATATTTGGAAATGTGTGAGATCGATGAAGGGTTCTGGGAGACAGCATCTCATCTTGTACACTTCCAAAACTTGGTTTTAATTCTCTACTCTTGGTATGTGAGTCATCTCCAACAAAATCGAGATGAAAGTTTGCATTGCCACCTTGGTCAAGTGATCTCCCATGTTCACTATGCCAATTGTTGTCTGATGGGTTCTTACTGAAGAATCCGAATAAATTGGTGTGGAAATAATCTGTGAGGTTTGGTGATGAGACCGAAGGGCTTAGGCTCACATTGTGATGGCTCAATGAAAGTTCATTGCTATGATCATTAAACTGTAGATGCTGGACAGCCTTGGATTTTTCTGAGAATATTTTTAAAATTAATTATTTCACAGATACAATCATTTTTACAAGTAATTATCAGCATGAAAGGAAATAACTTTAAAAAGCTAATTTTTTTAAAAATAAATAAAGGAAAAAAAATCATGTACAGAGCGCAATTTAAAATAACATCTTTACATAAATATATTCTTAAACTCAATATAAGTCTTCATTTTAAAAAATTGCAACACAACTGCTCACCTTTCTGTTCATGAGCTCTGGCATTGGATAAAGTGATTTCATCCAGTCGTATTTTGGCTTGCTCACTGCCCATTTCTGCAGCTTTCTTGTACAAATCTATAGCTCCATTAAGATTTTCTGGCAAACCTGTGATGGGCCACAGAATGTAGTTGGTATGGACAAAAAAAATGAAGTCTTTTTAAAATGAATACTGACTAAATTAATTGCTACCTTTAAAGCTAACCATGTTGTAATTTAAATCAAAAGCTTAAGTATCAGCAAGTATAATTTTTTTGTACAGTACTTTAAATTCCAAAATATGGCCACAAACCAGCTTTATTAAATAATGGAACTTGATAAAATTAAGAAAGGTTTTTCTTTCAGTTTTAGAACTGGTTTTTATTTCAGTTTTAGAACTGTCTAAGACATGCATAAAACTTATAGAATAAAGCTTACCACCCAGGCCATGTTCAGTGAAGACTGCTAAATTATAAAGTGCAGTTTCATGTCCAGCGTTGGCAGCCAATGAATAAAGCTGAGCAGCACGACATTCATTCACCTGAACACCCCAGCCTTGCTCATAACATATTGCCAAGAAGTATTGGGCTTCTGTGTCCTGTTTCAAAATATAAAACAAAATATACCTAGCTATAGTTATTTTTGGGGGATAATATATGGACCTTGAAATCAAGAGATTTACATCACCAGATTTAGTTACTACTAATACTTGAAATAAATGTGATGTAATATATACTGTTGATTCTTAAAAAATGTTCACCTTGTTTTGAATAAATTGCAATGTAGGAAATGGAGTTTAAAAAGAAAAATGTTTTTAAAATCTAAAAAATAACCACATCATTTTAAACAAATAATTGAAATGAATGTTTAATTTGCTGAATGGCTGTAAATTAATTTATTAATATGTGTTCAATTTTTTTATTTATGTGCTGAAAATGTACTATGCAATCATAAAACATTTGTTTGGATTAATAAAAGAATCTTATCTTATTACTTTTACCATTTGAGCAATGCATAAATTAGCAGTAGGTCAACTCTGTACATACTCATATTGCATATACCACATTCATTCTTTTTTTACAAGTGAGCCACCTCTATCTGTTTAAAGGTAAATATTTACTGACCCCTAACAAAATTTTGTTTGTTTGTTGTAAAAGTTACTAAGTTTACTTAAGTAAAAGTTACTTAAGCAATAAAAAAAATACCCTTAACTTATTTCATTCCTGGTGAATAGGTCAACTTTTACAATCATTCAATCTAATTTTTCATTTTTAAATATGAAATAATTTATAAGGACATCTATACCCAGTGTTTTTTTGTTTTTGTTTTTTTTGTTGGCATCCGTCCGTCACAATGTGACGATGGAGTGGGCTTCGGAGGACGAAATCCACATGGCCTGGGATTATACTTCAAGGATTATAAGCTGGTTCCCAACAGCAAATCGCCTCTCTCCACGCCGCTGGGTAACCCAAGGGAACATCAATGGATGATACAGCTTGGCACCAGTGACGTCGCAGGAGTTGCCGGAATGTTTCATTTTATCAATGTTATCCGCCTTTCGGGACTCCATCTCCGGGTTTGATTTCAGAGTTTCCTTCTCTTAGATGAGTTGCCATCCAAGGTTAACGAGTCTCATCTACCCGGGGTGCTTGTGGTGTTATTGCTTGACTGGGCTCTAGCTGGAATTGAACTCCAGACCACCAACTTGATTTTGCTCAGTTTAGACCATTCGGCCACCCAGCACCCAGTGTATTAAATTATTATTTTAAGGAAAGATTTGTTTTTTCCATTAATCTACAATATAATAGATTAAACAACAAATATTTTAAAGAATAAAAAAAGCCAATATCAAAATGAAGCAAATATTATTTTCACTCTCAAATAGATTAATATACAACACACCAGAGTTAGACTTCCTTTATGGTTTATAAATTTATTACCCAAATAAACCAAATGTCTAGAGCATAAAAAAATGTGCATGTTTTTTAATTCTATTATGGAAACAACAATCTATATATATAAAAATGAATGTTTGTATGTATGTCTGTATGTCTCTTATGCGCTCCTACACCATTCATGCGATTGCGACAAAACTTTGGACAGTTGTTTTCCACATAACCGGTCATTTAACTGAGTCATTACTATCCTTATCAAATTTTTCATTTCCAGCCATTGGCCCTTAATTGTTTTTTTTTCTTATATGAGCTATGTAAAAAATAATTTCCATATGCGCTCCTACGCCATTTATCCAATTCCGATAAAACTTTGGTGAGATGTTGCAAGCATGTCCATAAAGGTTTATAAATTGTTACAACCGTTTTAAAGTATTCAGTTTTGAGCCAGGGGCCCTATATTCATTTTTCCTTATATGAGCTATATAAATATATTTTCAAACCGTATGCGCTCCTACACCATTAATGCGATTGCTACAAAACTTGGTGAGTTGTTGTCCATGTGCTAGAGCATTTTACTGTGTTATTTAAACACTACATTGGTTTTTTTGAAAAATAGATCAATTATGCGTGTATTGCAGTGCCATCAAATTTAAAAATGAAACACCGGGAATTTGCTGCGCGGATGGGAAAATGAAATTGCCAGAATTACATTCACCATCGGAACCATTATCAACGTTGGTGTCAGGTGACAATAGCCAATCGAAACATTTCTTGGCAAGTGCAATTCATGTTCCAAATGACATCGTTCGGTGCAACAAATATCGTGCTCGAGAATTACATGCCAACATTTAAAGTAAAGTGCAAGGCCAAATTTACTATCGTGTATGATCTCTTATGCCAATGCCAAACACAGATCACAAATGTCTTAACATGATTTCATGGGAAATACTGATGAACACTTGATCAACGTTGTCATATCAATAGGGGCACTAAACGAGAAATCGTCGCTGCAATGCAAACGTTATTAATGCAACACAACGAATTAATTCAAATGTTCAGAATTGCACTTGAAAAGATGCCGACTGATGAATACAAAGTCATAGTTAGAGCAGATTAAACACCTGTCGGCCAACATGAAAGACAATACAATGCACCAACAATTGATGAAGTGGCGATCGTTATAGTTGGCGAAGAATTTAACTCACGTGATATAATGCTTCATCGCAGAAGTGGGGATGTTCAGCGAGTCTCAGAAACTCATCACTAATACGATTGATTGCAATATCATATTTTATTTTGGCAAGGAGAAGATGGATATCATTTGACATCAAATTGAGAAATTCGAATAAGAAAGTCAGTGCCATGTTTGGCAAGGAGAAGATGGATATCATTTGACATCAAATTGAGAAATTCGAATAAGAAAGTCAGTGCCATGAAATACTATTCATATTTGATGATTCATGAGTTGGGAATGACCTCTCGGAATCGATCTGCAAACAAACGTTTCGCTCTTGATTTGCAACGAGAAACGTACTTTGATATCGAAGCATTAGGTACGGTACATTTGTTCAAATGAATCTTCCAAAATTGGTTCAATTGAAGTTACTATTTTAAATGGAAAATTTAAACTAGGTGATGTACTTTTGCCATTCACCCTAATGATTCCAACAGATATGCCATTTGAATTCAAACGCCTACAGTTTCCGATGTGACACGCGTCTACAATGACTATCTACAAAGCACAGGGACAATCGCTACAAGTTTGCGGACTAAATTTGGAAAACCCATGCTTCTCCCATGGACAGATATATGTGGCCTGCTCTCGCGTCGGAAAATCTTCTGATTTATTCGTGTATATACCAGATAGAAAAACAAGAAAAACAGTATTTAAAAGCTCTTGAAAAAACATAATTAACATGCAACCATTTTCTTTCTTTGAGTGGCATTGCAACGCATGCCGGGTACTCGCTAGTAGCTTATATAAAGTAAAAACTACATACATTTTGGTCTGCTGCAGCTTTGAAATATGGCACAGCTTTGGCCGGATCTTGATTCTCCTGAAAATGGTGGATCCCAAGGTAGGTCTGCGCCTGTAATTAAATTATACAGTTTGAAATATAATCCATAACAAAATTAAGGTAACATTTTAATTTTTCTTGTATCACTTTCTTTAAACCACCTTTGTAACATAGATGTTAATTATAAGTGAATACTTAATAATAATAATACTATAGTTTATTTGAAAATCACGCTTCACCCCGCTCGAAACGCGGTACAAAGTCAACCAAAGAAAAATTTAACAATCTATATTTTACCACATTGAAACACAAAACGCAACACTACAAAAACTATAAACAAGCATCCCCATTCAAAGTCTTTCATCCCTTACAACCATGAACAACACAAGCCAATGTACATCTAGGAAACAATAGCTAGCTGGAAAAGATGGTAGGCAACATTACTCCAGCAGGTGTTAGAGAAATAGATGGGTTTTCAAATCGTTTTGAAGGATTCCAGTGTCTGGCTGTTTCTGAGATAGACAGGAAGGGTGTTCCAAATTGTTGGGCCAGCAAATGCGAAATTGCGCCTTCCGTAAGTCTCAAGGAAAACATGCGGTATTGAGAGTTTGCCACTATCGGATGAGCGGAGTTGTCTAGTGGGTACATAAGGCGTTGTGAGGGCATTGAGATAGAACGGCGCCAGGTCATGCAAGCAGCACAGAGTTGCAATTTTGTACTCTATGCGAGCACGGACCGGCAGCCAATGCAGCTCTCTCAGAAGTATTTTAACATGGTCGGAAATGTTTGCTAAGAACAATGCGAGCCTCATTATTCTGTGCTTTCTTTTATTTTATCTGGGAGCGTAGCTGAAAGACGCACCATGAGAGCATTGCAGTAGCCCATGTGTGATAGCACGAATGCAGACATCAGCCTCTTTGATGCATCAAACGTTAAGAAAGGTCTGATATGACTAATTCTATGCAGCTCTAGAAAAATTGCCTTGCAAAGCATGTTAATGTGATTTTCCATAGTTAGTGTCCAGTCCAAGTAGACACCCCGGTTTCACACTGTTTGAGCAAACTCAATCTGCACATCCGAGAGAGTAAGGGATGGTGTGTTATTTACAGATTTTAGCTTTGGAGCAGTAGCAATGGGGATCAGCTTGGTCTTTTCATTGTTCAATTTGAGCTTGTTCATGGTCAACCAGTGCTTAACTGACTCCACTGTCTTCTGTGTCATACTAAGAAGCTGAGTGACCTATTTATAGCATCATCCAGTCCTTAAAACATCTGTTTACTTCATTTTCATGTGGTTATTTGTTGACTTTTGTTACCTATTTGTCCAAAACAGTTTAACAGTATATCAGTAAGAAAGTGTGATTGGTTCTGTTGACATTTTATTTAATAACTAGTAGACAGAAAAAGATTTAACATTACCTCTGCCAATCCCAGCCAGGCAGCCTTTTCCATGAGACTGATTCCCTCTTTCTGTCTGCTGGGACAGGAACAGTCCGAATGTTCATCTTCAAGTTGTTGATCCAGGTACATGAGACCAAGGTTATAAAGGGCAAGTCTGTTACCTCGCTTTGCTGCCATTTTGTAGTAGTGTTCAGCCTAGAAAATAATTTTGAATAAAAAGGTTTTTTAGATTTAAATCACTGTTATCTGCCATAGTCATTCAAAGTGGCATTTGTCATGAAGCAAGTTACAACAGATATGTCTTCTTCTTCTTCTATATCTTAAGGGCCCACGATCAATTTATTGATCATTTTGGCTCCTATGCATGTAGATGGGATTTGCAATGTTTCTGTTACTGGTGGTGATGAGGAAATTATGCACTATAGGTTTGAAGGCTTGAGGCAATAGACAATATGTCTATACACAGTCTTCTTAGGAAAGTATATTGACATAAGAAATCCATACAATTTAGCCTGGTACAGGATTGGTTTTTAACTAATTTACAGTAAAGGACCACTCATTTGATTTTAGTGATCCAAATTAAAAAACTAAAAATGTTGACCATTGTAGGAATAGCCTATGTTACAAAAATACACACAGTTATTCATTCAATCAAAGCCTCAGGAAATGGCAATTTTCCCCATTATAATAAATATATCCAATGAAACCTTTCTGCTAGCTTTTCAATCTGTATGCCTTAGTAGCACTAAGGGGATTTAATGAAGTTTGACACATGCACTGAAGTGGAAAGGAAGTAGTAATTATTAACTTTTTGAAAATTAAAGATAGTTCAGTTACTTTTTATTGTCTTCAGAATTTTTTTTACTGAAATCATGTTTTCTTCCTTCCAAATCATATGACTCCACTGATTTATCTGAAACTGTGGATACTACTGTGCTACAGAATATATTATTTATTAACTTCAAACAGTGAAGGGGTGACCTGACCACACTAAAATTATAGAAAAATGTATAAAGGTAAATGAATTTCGCAATAGTAATTACAAATTACAGTATCTGAATCCTGTTCAACTCCATCTCCAGTTTCATAACACAATCCCAGATTGAAGCATGCCGAAGAGTTCCCAAGTAGGCAGGAAGTGCGCAAATGTTCCACAGCAGAGGTCATGTCTCCCCTTCCCTTGGCCTGTAGTCCTAGATAGCTCTCATTAAGTGCTTTATATTCATCACACATCGTCTGGAACTCTTCCAGAGCAGAATCCAATGTCTAAAAAAAGAATTTTTTTTTAAACTTAAAAAATATAGTAACACAAATCAATTTCTTGAATCTTAGAAAATTTGACTAAATGAATAGCACACTCTCACTGCTACCTATGATATAAACAATCCAAACTCAATTTTTAGGGTCTTGGGAAATTCAAAGTTCAAGAGTGAAAAACCCTTACAGAAAACCAGGTTAGGAAAGATCCTAAGAATCCAGTTTGCTATGGAATCTTATAAAGTAAAAATTAATGGACTAGTGGGATGTACAAACAACATTCCTTTTCTTATGTGTAATTTTTGTACAGTCACTTCCTGACTCATGAATAGTAATTTTACCTAATCAAGTAAAGAGACTGTTGAACTGCAAGATGTTAATAAGTTAAATACTGGAATTTTTAGCTTTTTTTACATTAAGATTTTATTTTGTAGTTTGAACTCTCCGCTGCAACAAATTTGTGCAACAAAATAGCTAATATTCAATGCAATTGTAATGCATTACCTCAGACTTGGATTTATTAATTACTGCATCATGGGCAGCTCCCGAGGCATCTTTGATTGCTAACAATCCATTTGAAAATTTGGGACCCAAAATCGTTGTTGATGCAGTTGTGATGGAGTCGGCTATTACATTTTTCAAAGAGCTGTGATTGCCAGGCACAGAAAAGATGAGTCTGTATAAAAGCACCGATTTTCTTCTTAATCTGTCTTTGTCTGTACCCCATAATATGGCAGTTCCCTGTAGAAAATATAAATTCAAAACTTTTTATTTGGACCAGCAATGAAAATGGTGGCTACCAACAATATTTTTATGACTTTTTCAAAGATAATTTGAAAACCAGAAATCAACATGCAAAGCATTTTAAGTGCTTGTTTTTTCACAAAATGATCTGAACTACATAAAAGTAAGGATCACAATAAATATTTTAAAATTATAATGATTCTAAGTTAACCCTACCAATGATATAGCCTCAACCATATGTTCTGTCTGGCGCATAATATGCCAGAAGTCCTTATGACATGACTGCCACCATTCCCTTTTGTCTTTCCTGCCAGTATTGCCACACTGATAATTTCCCTCAATACCTTCATTTTGATTTTGTATATGTAAGCTGTTGAAATAAAATATGGATTACCAAAAAATTATGGCTGATAACTCTTTAGAACAATTTATTTTTTCTGATTGTCCACTATACACTAGTAATTGGTGTGCACCGAATATTGTATTTTATTTCGAATGTTTTATTTAGAGGTGTGTGTTTTATGAATGTTTTTCCCACCACTAGGATGGTGACGTAATTTTATTGTAGCTGTGAAGTGGTATCTATAGTCTGTCTCGGGTGTATGTGCTATTTGATTGAGCAGTTGATGAGAGAACGTTGTGGATGAAGGTTGTACTATATAAGTCTACTCATAGCAAGCTGTGTTATACATGTGTTTGATTCACCATGCAGCCTTATATAGATATATATATATATATGTTTCTTATTAAAGTTTACATTGCTTTTAGAAAAGGGACTTGCGTTCAATATGGTGTGATTACGACATATGAATGTGTAAAAGAATTTGATGAAAGAAACCAATCATTCACAGGTCAAGACACTGATAGATTAGCAAATTGGCTTTTTACACCCAATAACACCCCCGAAAATGTGTTGGAAAAGATCTGGTCAAAAAACTGTTTTAAAAATATTAAAAGATGCTAAGTTTTTAATAAATGAAATAAAGGGAGATTGGGCAAGAGAGTGCCGAAATTGTCATTTTTTTCATTCCAAATATTTATAATAATATATACTTTTTGGGGTAGAGAAGGTCTAAATTCAGGTTTTGACCTGCACGCAGCTTTTGTTAACCTCGGCCCTGGCCGCTACCATAATAAATTAATGAAATAAGAAGAATACTTATTTGACAACATGTTTATTAAATATTTCTAATTGTTAGGTTATACATAAATTTGACCTTTTTGTTTAAAAAATGTATTTGTAAATTAAAATGAATATAACATAAAATGTTTATGATTGTGTGTCATCACTATCTTTGAGTAAACTCAAAAGTTGATTTATTCCTATTGGAATTTTCCATTAGTAATGTTTTAATAATATAGTACCTATTTAGAACTTGTGCACTGCAAATTGGTTTTTCGCAAACATCTTGAGAGCTTTTTTTCATCCATGAGATAGGACAAAATTTATCCCTTTTCTCAGCAAGCTCATGCACCTCTGGTTCTTCATCAACATAGAGGCCAGCAGAAGTGCGAGGGCTATGAAGATGTTGTCTTAGTGCTGAAAATAACATTTTAAATCACGGTTTAAGTAAGATAATTTGATGCAAATTAAAAGCAACAATTGACAAAGTAGATCTCAAAATACAGCACAATAAGAGTGCATTAGAATAAGAGATTTAAATATAGACAAAAACAAGCAGACTGGTAAAATTTGACTAATTTTAAGATGTGCCAATATATCCTCAGAAATTTTATATATAAACATAATAATTAATATTTAGACAAAAGCTTAATGTATTGTTGACTAGAGCAGTCATAATTATGAATTTGATTTTAATGATGGTTTGATATGTCTTTTTTAAGAATGTAACTCAGCATTACAACATTATGACACAACCTGGTGGTCATTTTTTAATTAAAAACATGTTGTCTGCACATTTTAAAAGAAATTTTATTTTATTTATATCTCATAAATATAGACAGAAGATTTTCATTGTCAAGGAAGGTGTCACATGGAAAAGTATAAAAATACTGTTACCGGTATTTATTTAAAGTACTATACACTATAATTGCTACAGTGAACTATTTGTAATTCTGTAAAAATAATTTCAATGTTCTATTTTTGATGGCCTGCCTTTAGACACGTTCCAACAGTTACAAAGTCATTTTTATTTTTGATTGGCTCCCACACTACAGAATGATGCATGAGGATTATATAATAAGTTTCTTGTGGAATATTGGGATTTGTGAGTGAATATAGGATATTTCCATATCAAAGGTAAGTGAATATTTTTTTTAAACATTTCCATTTTAAAATGTAAGAATCATAATATTTCATTAAAATATGATTACATAGCCTAAAATGTCAGTACCTATGATAGGTCCTGCAATAATAAGTTGGGATGTTACTTGGCCTATACTATTATATACCATACTAGGCATAGTATATATATATATATATATATATATATATATATATATATATATTTATACTATTAGTTGTAATGATAATAAGGCTTGTGCTATTTATCCCACTCCCCCAATAATACCTCATAATAAAAGCATAAGAAAAATAAGTATTTGTACCTATGATATGTCCTGCAATAATAAGTTGGGATGTTATTTGGCCTATACTATTATATACAATACTAGGCATAGTATATATATATATATATATATATATATATATATATATATATATATATATATTTATACTATTAGTTGTAATGATAATAAGGCTTGGGCTATTTATCCCACTCCCCCAATAATACCTCATAATAAAAGCATCAGAAAAATAAGTATTGGTGCTATTAAATTGTTGCTTTGCTTTAAAATTAGTTATTAGTGAGTAATATGATGGATTCCCAGTGTAAATCAAGTTACTTACTACAAAAACGTCCATTATTGATAATATGTAATTTTGGGGCACATGTGACAAAAAATTTGAACAAAAATTTCCCACCCCTCCACAGGTCCTAACCTTTCAAAATTTGAATATGTTGTAAATTATGCCTACATATAAAATTTGTAATTTCTTTTTTAACTATATATTTTCAACAAAAAAATTATGAATGAGTCAAATTAGCTATTTTATTTACCATTAATTTTCAAAATCAAACCATCAAATTTTTTTCTAAAAGAAAAGTGTCAAATGAACAACAATATCTACGTTAAGTTGAGGGTGGAAGTAGAATTTACAAACAAAACTAACTTCAGCAAAAAAAATCCAAAATGCTACCCTCTGTGAATTAAAAAGTGGAGGTCGCCATTTTGACAACTAAATCTGGATACCCATCTGGATACCCGGTTTTCGGCACTTCCAGGATCATACTGAAGTGCCTAGTACATGACTTAATCAATAAATGAATCCCATACTATCGTCTATTTATAGTCTAGCCTAAAAAAAAACATAGTCTTACTACTTAGACTTATTTAATGAATGCTCTAATCTAATTAGTAAGCTTAATAGGCATAGGCTTAGGACTTAGGAGGTCCTTATGACTCTGACTAGTGATGCTTATTAGATGTACGACTTTAATTTACCATTTTAAATTTTTTTAAAGCAACAAAATATTTCAAGACCAAGTCAAATGTCCAACTTTCAATCAATCACTTCACAATCAAATTATCAATAATATTAAAGTTAATTATTAATATCAATAGTATTTAGTTTTAGTTTTAGTATTATTAGTCATTGGTGCATGTGAAATCACAACCCGAAAGTACTTACTAACTGTGTTTAGATTGATCTTAGAAAAATTATCGTCAACACGGATAGAAAAAAATTTTAAAAAAAAAAAAAAAAAACACTTCTAAGAATGTATTCAATTCAAGAGGGCTAAGTTCAGTAAGGGCCAGTAAGCATTAATTCTACTAAGTGAAAGTAGTTTATTTAAGAAGTAAGAGGTGGTGGTTGAAAAGGAAAGTGAGATGATGTACATTTATACAGGTCTCAATCATACGAGAATCTATTAGTTTACATACCTCTTGAGAAGTTATGTAATATTTTCCACATTTTCGTTAATTTACAGAATACCAAGACAACTTTTGTTTAACAGATTCTGGAGTTAGCCAGGGGCTTCTGCTGAGAAACCCATCACGGCGACCATGTTGACTTCCCAATGTTTTGTAGGTCACCTGCTCGTCTCTGACAGTGCTGCCACTCAAATCCTTTAAAATTTCAGAGATTTGGTTTACAATTTCCCCAGATTTTCCCTGGCCTTGAGATAAACTATCAAACTCATATATATTTCTACATTTACAATGTATCTTGTCCTTCAATTTGTTTCTAGACTTCAAATTGCAAAATAAAATTGAAAATCACCCCTCAATGCATTTTACAAGTATTTCTTTCGCTAAGACGGCAACAACGGAAAAGTGAAAAGAGTCTTAGGCTTAGGACTCAGGAATAGGAGTCTCCCGATCCCAAGCTTTAACTACTGCGCTTTGTGGGCATTGTGGGATGATCATAATATGACACGAAAGTCTACGGGTCAGACTATTCGAGGTGGGAGCTGGGCTAAAGGTGTCACAAATGACTACGGTCAACAGTGTTAAAAAAAAAAAGTATGGTACTATGATATTTAAACAGATAGTCTAGCCAGGTATCGGAGGGTGTGTGTCCATCCTGTATTGTTTTGACGGTGGGGGAAATTACCTGGTATTAAGATATTGGGAGTATGAGACGATCAAGGCGTAAAAAGTGGGATACATGCTGTGTTTGTAGTTAGTGCAATTCAGCCGGGGGGGGGGGGGGGGCCATTGTTTTCTCTAGGGTTTGAAAGGTTTTTTTGTTT